GCCAGCACACGATAATGGTCGGCACCCGTGGAATCCACCAGGTCACGGAAGTGAGAAGCCGATAGCGACGTCCACCTGGATCGTCATGAAGAGACGTGACATAGTATACACGTTGGCAGAGCCGCTGTAGTACGAGAGCTGGACATCGTCCTGTTCCTTCTCCTCCTGCTCAGGTTTCGCAGAGTTCGACCGCGTATCGACGCCCGAGAAGCCGTTGCTCTCCACGTTCACCGCGGTGCGCTCGATGACGCTGAACCCGCGACCACCGGGTCACTCCGTCGTCCGACATCTCGCTGCACCAGGTGCTGGCCGCATTCGGCAACCAATTCCTCCCGTACAGCGTCACCATCCTGATCCCGGACCTGCAGCGGCCCCATATTTTTCCACTCCAAGATCCAAACACCGACCACGTCAGCGATAATACTTCCCACGCATTCGATGAGCGCGATACCTTGACAGTCGGGACGAACAGACTGACACGGCCGTAACTCACGGCGTGAGGGCCATGAAATAATCCCGAAGTTCTCGCTGAACGAGTCCGGGAACGGTCCGTCGAGTGGAGTGCTACCCAGTACTAGGAAGACACATGGAAGTAGCAGATACAAGCGCAACTGGGATATGCTGACCAGATGCGTCCGGTCTAGCCGATCGCCCATCCACCGACGTCGCTGAAACCGCTCACTTTCTTCATTGTTCACTGCTGTTGGCAAGGCTCCACGCCCATATAATCGTACAGTACAATCTGTACCGGAAGCAAAAACAACCTTGACTTGTTTAGCAATTTTTACCGCAAAATAATATTTGATTATGAAAATATAGAGCACAACAGATTCCTAGACGGAATTTTGATTCGCCACCAAACACCAATACAGAGCCGCTTATTGCAGGCCCTAGTACAGACAACGACGGAGAAATCCACCCCTATCTAAGTAACATCCTCCATATAAATCAGTTGGTGCCATCAGAGACAAGAAAACCCGCCCTTTAGTCTAATTGTCGAAAACCCAGAGCTTCGGTGCAAATAAACAAACTCATTTGATAAGATTAGTAAGAAGAAAATTTTATATTAGAATTCTACATTGGTATTTTAGGTATTGCTTTCTTAAAACGTTGTACTATGACATCTGACTTTAAGCCTTGATCGTTCTCGCAATGGTAGAGCGTCTCTTTTCCTCTGTAGTTGTTTGGTGTTGCCTTCTACGCTTGGCGGTGGCCTTCTTCTCTTCCTCCTGAGTTATCACGTCATGCAACGTGTTGTGGCATCTCGTCGATTTCGTCGATAATACACATGTACTCCTCGTTTCATAGGCATTCACCGCCGCACAAGCACTTATCCCAGCACTGGCACTGATACCAACAGATGCAATCCTCTTCAAGCCCGCACTTAGAACAGCACACACACTTATCTTGGCACTCGCACTTCTTTTTTGCACGCGCAGCCTTCAACAAGCCCGCATTCCGCACTCTTTCCTCTTTTGTTTTGGTTTGCGGGTCTCGGTCACCCAGAGAGCCGTTATTTTTTTCTTGAGAGGCCCCATGACCCCGACGTCCAAGGGTTGGCAGACAGCAGTACTGTTGGCGGGTAGCTAAACAAGCCAAAGCTGACGTCGCTTCAGCAACTACATCAATGCCCTATTTTGATACGTGAACATCAAAATAAGAACTGATGGGGTGTCAATTTCGTAACGTAGCAGCTCGCGAATCTAAAACGACCAAACTCTTGAGCCCATCTCCCCATTTTCTTGAACTGTGTAGATATGCTCAGCTGGATACGTCGGCAACTCGTCTCTTTTTTCGATTGTACCGCCGGGCGTCGCGCGAATTATAAAAAGAATGGGAGCTTTTTTTTAACCTAACATAAAAAGTTTAAATTAATTCAGATTTGTACAGTACAGCGTAGAAAAAAACTTACCATCAGCACGAGCAGTAATGACTGCCGTCAGTCGGCCCGGGTGCTTATGCGTGCGTTTTACTTTGGCCGACCCTTTCCTTCCTCGCTCAGCCCAAATTTTGAGAGGTGGCATGACTGCTGTCTCGTCAACGTTGTAGATAGCGCTCAGTGGAAATGATCCAAACTCATTCCAAAACTTAACAGCAAACTGCCAGTGCGTTTCCACCATCGCATCTTCATTCTTTTTAGTGTGCTGAGGTAAACTCAGCAATATTGGGTCTCACGGTTGGCAGGTAAATTTGAACAGCCAATCACATCAAACCTTCCTGTCCTGTTTTTTTTTCAACTAAAACCTACTAAAAAAACTCGGTAGGTTTGGCCAAGAAGTGAAGGTATAATGTTATTGGTGCAAACGACTAGGAGAATGTTTGATTTGATTGGTTGGCGAACGGTATCAAGCAAAAATATCCGTTCAGGGCTCCATTTCCCGACGTCTGGACGACCCATGTAGCGGTGGGAGACTATCGCGCAGTAGAACATATCGTCTTCGTTTTCGTCGTTCTCGCTTCCCTGGTCACAAAGCAGATAGCTTAGAGCTGAGTGCTGTAGGTGCAGCAGCAGCGCTGCTCGTAGAGATCGCCCCATTCACACCTTCAGCGCTCACTTACCAATGAAGTCACTGGCTGCGACTGTCAGTAGCCCCTGCACACGCTGCTCACAGTTGAACAATGAAGGTTTGATTTGATTGGCTTACGAAACCTTCGTACCTTCTAACCGTGAGAACCACTAATGTTGCTGGATAAAATATTTGACTTAAATACCGAACTTAAACTTTTGGTGGGCGTGTTTTTATAGTGTGGCGGATTTCTCCGTCGTTGTCTGTACTGTAGTCCCGCACTGTAAAATCGGTACCGAAAGAGGTACACTCTTTCGGTACACATTGTGGCGAACAAATCACTACATAAAGAACCGGCTTTATTTTGCTCACCTTTCACTTTGTCTCCCCCTACACATTCTGGCATTTCCGGTTATTTTGACAATTCAAGATGATTTGCTTGATTTGCTCCGTATATAAATAGTGGATTGTACAGTGTTAGTACCGGTACGGTAACCTGAGACCTGGAAACGCACAGCGAAGTACATTTGCATGTTATGCTTCTTTACACCGGCATGCTTCCTCACCTCGTTCCTATGCGTGATATTGGCTCCTTCAACCGAACTTCTAACCCTAGCAACGACCTGTTTACTGAAGACGACCTGAGTAACACGATATGCTGCTATATCTGATTGAGGAGTAAGACAGTCTTTACTGTAAAATACACATGTACCGTACATGAACTGTACGTTGGTACATGTACTGTAACCATTCGGCGACAGATTTGGGGATGCTTTTGCGCGATGAGACTGAATTTATTTGTGACGGGATCTAAGCAATTTTGCCATGTGAGCAAACGACTAGTCCGACGTTGTGAGCCAAGTTCACATTCTGCTGGCTGACAGAAAGCAGCGCCTGCTGCCGCGTTCTCGCAGGTTTATGAGAGCGTTCCTGAATTCGGAGGTTGGTACGGCACCAGATTAACACAGTATACATGTACAATACAAGTTGAATTGCTTTCGCTGGTCTACGTCTCGGTTTAGCGAACGTAGAACAGGTCACGCCGGGCTCTCCGCCCCATAGGGTAATGTACTGCTATTAATGCAGTAACTGTACAGTATGTTGTATTCCCGTGCACTGCTGCACACTGTGGCACAGTCTGTGCAGTGCGAGATGCACTGCGACAACTGCACTGCAGTCTGCAGCAATGCGTGTAGACGGACGAAGGGAGGTGCGCAGTCTTCAAACCATTGCGCAAACACAAGAAATTGCTGCTGGCTGATGCGCATACCTACTCCAGTTCTGTCTGAGGCTCATTGCCCAATTTCCGGTTCCACTGACACTTGCAATGTCAGCTTCTTCTTCTCCTTCGGCCGTGCGATCCCCTCTCTTCACGCTTGAGGATGCGAAGATCGCTTTCAACATTTTTTGCTGTATCTGCGGAATCGGCTCACTCGGCATGCCGTCCAACTACGCTCGCGCCGGCTGGGGTTACGCGACCGTCGCGTTATTATTCATGGCGGTATCGAACATCTACGCCACCGTGCTGCTGTCAAAGGTGCTGATGGTAGCCCCATCTTCTGTGAAGACTTACGGTGACCTCGGCGAGTGGGTCGCCGGCAAGTGGGGCCGTTTTTTTGTGGTAGTCTCCCACATGGGCGTTTGCCTTCTTGCTCCCTGCGCATTCCTCGTACTTGGTGGTACGCTGCTCGACGTGCTCTTTCCCGATTCGTTCAGTCAAACCGTGTGGATCATCTTCATGGCTGCAATGGTCATCCCTGTGGCGTTGATCCCCACTCTGAAAGAGAGTGCCGGCATGGCTGTGGCGGGTTGCCTGGGCACGATCATCGCTGATATCATCGGTGTTGCGATTCTCCTGTACGAAGAGCGCGGTCATCCAACGCCCCCAACGCCTGACGTAACCCTACACCAGGTGCTCACCACGTTCGGCAACCTGTCTCTCGCGTACGCCGCTGCTATTGTGATCCCCGACCTCCAGCGACAGCATTCACAGCCCGAGCGCATGCCTCGTGTCATTGTCGTCAGCCTGGGTCTTGCCTCGGCCTTCTTTCTCGCCATCGCTATTATCGGCTACGTTGCTGGTGGGTGCCAGCTCTCCGGTAATCTGCTCTTTTCGATCGTGAACACGTCCGACCCCTACAGCACCACCACTCTGGGTTTTACGGCGAACCGGGGAGCAGTGGTCATGTCCTACTTATTCATGCAGCTTCATCTGTCGATCGCCTTCTCGACAATTCTACACCCGGCGTTTTACATGGCGGAGCGTCTCGTGTTGGGGATGCACAAGGATGACACGCTTCCTACTGACAGCGAGGAGCGTGAGATTGAGATTGAGGAGAAGATGTCGTACCTCGGTGCGGCGACCCCTGCATCTGCCGTCCCCGATCTCGAGAACAACACGCTTGGTGCTCAGAACCAGTGCTCGGTGCGTGAGTCGAGGACGAAAACTGAAGATGACCTCTCTGAGTACAAGGGCAGCGTGAATGTGGTTCGTTACGTCCTGGTGCGTATCGCTTTGATAGCGATTCTAGCTGTGGCCTCTATCCTGCTGAAGGACCATTTCCTCGACTTGGTGGACTTTACTGGTGCCACTGCCATCACTGTGTGCAGTTTGATCCTGCCGCTTATTTTCTACGCTAAGGTGTTTTGGAGGAAGATTCCGATGGGGGAGAAGGCAATTTGCATCACGATCTCCACAATCTGTGGAATCGTCGGTTGCTATGTGATGATCTACGCAGGAAAAAAACTATTCAATCCGGATGACGATGGAGCCACGTTCCCGTACTGTTCAACTGAGTACCAGGACGAACCGTACTATATAAGGAATAGTACTGTATCGAACTGATCAGAGCATCCAGGTAAAATGACTCGCTCTGCTTCTTAAAACTAGTTAGCTAGATTATCCTTCAGGTATGACTGTAATATTCCAATGAAAACGCGTGAGCTAAGAAATCGCTTCCCATTAAAATAGGTGTACATGGAAACATCAGATCTCTTGGAAAACGAACTTTTTACCGATAACGAGAATGCGCAGCATGGTGAGCGGTGAGCCGAATGCTGAGGCCGCTGAGTACAGTGTACATGTAGGGATAATTATGGAGTTTTAATACCACGCACGAGGATACGGAGTACGAGGGCTAAAAAGTTGGTGTGGGCCCAATATACGGTACTGTACCCTAGTACTGTACTGATGAAGGTGAAAGGTGGCCTCCTATTTTCCAGTACTACGTTTTAATAGTACTCGGAGTAATTGTTTCATTTCTTAAGAAGCCTTTTAAGCATTGAGAGAAGAGACCATGTCTGCTGTCTGATTGTGTTTATAAAGAAACCCCACTGTGCTATTTGGTTCTGTTTTCTGAATGTACAGGTAGTCCCTGATGAGTGCTTGCATTGGTTGATACATGTCGTACGTCGTGTCGGTTCTTCGTGTTGCTAGAAACGTAGCCGCCTGAAGTCGCGACCTCGTCGGTTTTTCCCAGACAATAGAGACCTTTCGCAACCTGTTTTTTGTTGAGTTTCAGTCTTCTTTTGAGTTTCTAGGGTGAGCCCTCTCAAATACGATACTCAATACGGAATTGCGTTTGAGCTATTGCTCAACTCGGATTTGAGCTCACTTTCGTCTTCACAGCTAGCTAGCACCATCCAACCTTGTCAATGCAAGATTCGGCTGGTTAATATACGTCTTTCTGCTATTGGCCGCATTATTGACCCAATGCCCTAAGTTTTACAGAGACCAAAGCTACAAATTACGATGCCAAAATTGCGCGACCCCCCAGTGGCAAATTGTGCGTGGACATGGCGTCGGAATCGCGAAAGAGATAAATCGTTTTTATCGGCTACAGACTTGCAAAACTAGTTTGATATTCTGATTGAAACATCAAATTGGGTGTGGCTTGCTGGTTTAAGCGCGCTTGGCAAAGCTCATCTGCACGTTGCAGCAGCAGTAGTCGCAGTCGCCTTACATTCCTCAATTGCTTGTAGCAGGGAAGTCGTAATTGTATTGTGGGTAGTATTCTCCTCGGCATGATGCCGCCTCACGATTGACTTTGGTTTTTTTTTCTGCACAACTCTTGGTGTGCTCTAGCTGTGCTGTAGTCTGCATCTGAAAGTCATCTAGTTTTACTGAATCAGTTTTGTTAATACTTGACCTTGGTCTTCAACAGACTGACGAACTTCCGTGCGAAGTTGGTCGATTTCAGCTGCTATCATCACGCGCATTTGCTGCTCGAATCGTGTGTGACGCTGCATCTCCATCTACTTCAATGTTTCAGCCATCCGTATGTCGCGGACCTCGGCGTGCTGGGCTGCATGAGCCTCAGAGATAGCTCTCGCTTGAGCCTGAACCACATTATTTGCAGCCGAAATTGCCAAGTGCAACTGTGAGCTAACGTGCTGCTCAATAGCAGTAGAATTGATTTGCGTGGCGTGTATAATCTCTGCAAGCACCTCAGTTCTTTATTTGGCTTCTGCACGCGCCTGCTGCACATGAGACGCTGTGTAGAGTTGCTGCTGCTGAGCTGGTAGCTGCTGGTGGCTTGCAGCTGCACTTGATACGCAGCTAGGTCATGGATCTGAGCCGATACGTGGGCTATGGCCATGCCAAGTTTTCGATTGCTGATGCCTGCACTGGTGTCTTCTTCGTAGACTACCAACACTTAACCGACTTGGAAGATGGAGAAATAAAGTCTGTGGCTACCGGAAGCAAGATATTGTACTGGCAAGATGAACCCCAACACCTGTTCGACACTTTCGGCAATTACTTCGCCGCTACCAACGCGTTGCGGCCCCCGAGACCACTAAAAGAATGGTTGGTTCATGTAGAACGTATATTTCCTGTTTGCAACCACACCGCTTCATTATTTAAGACGCCATGGCCCATCGAACTAGCCAAGAAAAACTGCTCATCGTACATGCTCACCGCTATTTTCTCGCAGAAGCTCGGCAACGGCTAAGCCCTTTAGGTCGTGCCGTACGGCAACGTGTAGCCGAGTGTCTTGCGGTTTCAGAAGACTTGGTTGCACGCGTAGTTGCCGCCTATAACAAACACGGCGAGGCCGACTTGGAGGCACCTCCGTCAAAACGAGGTTGCCCTCCGCGCTCTCATGTTCAGGACTTGCACGGTTATATCACCGATATAATACGAGACCGTAATTTATCGAAGCGTCGAGGCACATCTGCGCCGAAATACTAAGTATGACAGGTGTAGCCATTCCAGACCGTACTATGAGAAGCGAGCTGGCATCGATGGACATGTCCATGACAGAGGCACGTAAGCACGGGCACGAGGTGCTGTATACCCCACCCTATCACCCAGAGTTACAACCGATAGAAATGATATGGGGTACGCTTAAAAATCGGATCGCTTTGGACCCTGCAACTTCGCTCGTAGACTTGGGCGAGAAGACTCCGGCTGGACTGAATGCAATTGGAAGAAAAGAGTGGCTGGGGGCATACAAGAAGGTGCAGAAGCAAGAGCAAAATTACCTGGATAAACGGCCGCCGTCAGAAACGATACCTGCGCCTACTCGTGAGGAACTGGCGTCGTTGGCACTCGCTGAATACGAAGGAGTAGAGATCAGCTTGTAGATATGCCTAAACGTAGGATATTAGATTAGAAAAATATCCTAAGTCAGAGTGCTGAAAGCTTTCGCTGAGCAGGCCTCTGCTCAGCAGCTGGTTGGAACATAGCCTCGATTTTTTTTTAGTTTCCGCGATGTGCACATTTTTCGTTTAGGTATTGCTTTAGACAGACACATCGTAGAGACGGGCTGAAGCGTTAGGGTTAAAGAGAAGATACTGAGCTTTTCAACGGTGCTTTTCGTGAAAGAATCGGATGGGTACAAGAAAAGTTACAGTCGTTCGAGCTTTGGTGTTGGGTTTCATCTTGCCACTACAATAGAAAGCGAAGCTGATTTCGCAACTAAAGACAAACAATCTCTGAACCTAGCAAAAATCCTCCAAGCTGCGAAAATAGCGACGAAGGGTCAAATAAAAATCAACTCAGTCAGTAAGTAGCGTTACCCGATCCGAACAAGAACAAGTTGCCGCACGTTCTCTTGCGCGATCATGCAGTCTGGTCAGCAGCAAGCCAACAGCTGCATGCTCACGACCAAACTTGATCTTGGCGATGTAACAGGGCATGCACCGACAGCCAATGGGCAGATTCAAATCGCGGTGAAGCGCCGTAGCGACGAGCGGAAAGCGCAAAAGAAAAAACGAGTACAAGATGTCATAAACTCGCTGAAGTGCTTCTAAAATGCGGAAATCCAGTGTCAAACTAGATCGAAGATTTGCGGTGTGATCTAATTAACAAGACGTTGAGTAAATTGTCTTTGAAATGCAAATGTATTTCGTTTATTTGCCATCTAAGTTAGCTCTGATATTTTGGACCCTTCGATTCGTCGTCACCGGCTTCATTTTCGCTTTCACCAGAGAAATATGAGCTGAGCAGCTCACAGCCGTCAATACATGTATCATCGTCCTTCAGTCCAACCTTTACATTCGACGGGATGAACATATCGAGTTCTTGCTCACGGATCTTAGGGCATTGAGTAACGTCCACAAATTGCCTGTTACAGTTTAGAAAAGCTGACATATAAATGTTATGTGGAGAAATTGACCCTCTCTGCGGCGTTACTAGCTTGACAGCCGTTTCTAAGTCGCACTCTATCTGTGCCGACGAAGACGAAATAGCATTCACAATGCATGCTACCAGCGGAAGAAATTAAAAGGTATTGTGCTCTGCCTGACGCCTCCGAAACTGCAAAACCGTCTCCGGACGATTGCCGTTTGCTTGAATAGAGGTCGGTGTCGCCTCCCACCTCTCTAACGCTTCACAACGCGACTATTATTTATGTTGGCAGGGGGTGCGAGCTCCACGTGGGTATCGGTCATACGATCTCCAAAGTCATCCATCATGTCCTCCGAGAAGAGCGTTGGATGAGGTGCTGGCACCTGCGAAGCTGCAACGCGCACGTCTAGAGTTATTACCACTGACAGCATTACTGCCCGTGCTTTGTCGTAGATGATTTTCTCGATCTTGGCAAAGTGGCGTTCTCCAGCAGCAGTGACAGCCCCATTTTCATTTGTATTGCATAGCAAATCATTTTCTTCATAAATCCATCAAGAGTTTTGAAGTTGGATGCAAGAAAAGCTGCATCTCCAACACAAATGCACATTTAATCATAACCTTACGGTTTGTGTAAAGGGAGAAGAATCGTTTGTGAAATGCGTCATGAAGAAGTGTGCGAGTGGAGGTAGCCAACGCAGTAAGGTCCTCGGGTCTGAAGGTCATTCGGTGAGTCTTGCTAGAGCGATAGTCTTGTAGTTCCTTAAAGCAATCCAACACTGTAGTACGCAGCTTGTACAAGGTCAACAAAACTTCGACCTGGTTTGCACTTTCGCCCTGACTCTTGATGCTCACTTGAGTTATGGGCTGCAGAAGCGACAAAATCTGTGTGAGATTCAGATAATTTTTTTTCCAGCGGAAATACAGCAGGTAGATTCGTGTTTTCACTTCGAGCTTTATCCAGACGTTCTGCGTATCAGGATACTGAAGGCTCCCGCAGATCAAGAATTATCTTGATCACACGCGTAAGACCCAAAATTCGATGAGTGCGGTATTCTAATAGCTGATGAGGTGCTCGATTGCTCTTACCATAGACGCACAGCTCTTCAAACAGTGAGACCATGACTTCAACAGTCTTCACCGTGGAAATGGACTTCACAATACGATGGATCTGGTCTTTCATTACGGAGTTCTTAGACGTGGAAGCGTTGGTAACTATACCACAGGCAACCTTAGTTGCTGCATTAGTCATGTGAGGAATACACCACTGCCACTGGAGCTGGAGGCCCTCACTCATCATCCACTTGACACCAGGCCCTGCATCTGATGTAGCCCCGAATAAGTCTCGCAGCGTCAATCCAAAATCACGTTAAATATCTTCGATCCAGCGCTTAAATAGGCGCCGTATACCGCCTTGGCACTCTCCATAATGAGATACGAAGTGACGAGTACCAAGCAGAATTAACTCAAATTCTAACTTCGCATTGATCACGTACAATCGAAGTCCAAGGTATTTAACATTTTGCACCTTTGAGCTCTAAACGTCAACCACAGCGGTGAATGCTGGAGCGAAACCAACGCGACTCAGCTGCAACTTCCAATCCAGTACCCGCTTCGTTGACGCGTACATCTCTACAATAGAATGACATACAATTTTTGAATAAATAGTTGCCTGCGTAGCATCCTTGAAGACGAGCTCACGAATGGTGATATATTCCTCATACTCGCCAAGGCGATACGGAAGATTGTTATTTACAAGACGTACACGCGAGCTGGATCATCACGTAACATTTGCGAGTCACGAACACGTTCAAGCTCATTTTCACGGGAGCGCCATCGCTCTTGGGTCGCATCTGTTTATTCTGATGTGAAATCGGGAGCTTTCTAAAGATGCTTGATTGAAGCAGAAGTTTTTTCCGGTGGAAAACGGGAAGGACACATCCCTCTCACGGCACACCTCGCCGGTCAACACACATCCAGATTACAGGAGAAGAAGGGTAGGGTTTCGCGGAAGGGTTTTCGGGGGATTTGACCAGCCGTACCCCAAACGCAAAGATGACGGACATCTCATTCCGACGCGGAGGCAGAATGATGAAGCCGTTGGGCGGTTCGAATGCATTGATTGCGTCACGGATACCGGGAGGTTTCGGATGCATTGGGTGCGAGGCAAACCTTGGTAGTTGCTCACAGCGAGGAAATGTGTTTGGGTCACTGCTCGCAGAAATTAAAATGTGTTGTGAGATGCAAGTACGCTGGGCTTCGGCACTGATGTTACACCTGTTGGCTGCAAGCATTAACAATTTGACTGTCGATCATTTAAAAGGCGCAACTCCTCCGTATGACAGGTGTCAGAGGAGTTGCACCTTTCATGACACCAATGGATATGTAGAACTTTTACGCCTGTTCGACCGCAGATTTAGATGCCCGATCTGGCTCGGAAAATTTGGTTCAATGGTCCTTTTATTAGCGAATCAAAACAAGAGACAGTAGGAAGTTTAATAGCTTGGCGTGGAGACATATGGAGATCATGAAACCGAAATGCGAAGAGCTGACGAGGATCTCTAGAGATTGTCGTTTTGTCTCTTTTTTGAGGAGATTTTGCGGAGGAGACGATAATACTGGTAAAACTGTCTCCCTTTCCGCACGGGAGACAGTAATACCGGTAAAACCGCCTCTACTCGTCCGTATGTTCGGATAAGTATTTGTAACATTGCTGCTCTAAATAGCCCTTCTAAACTATTACAACTACAGCAGAGCTACATGTAGGACAAAGTCGGAGTGTAATGCAGCAACAATTATACTATATTTCACCGTTTTACTAGATCATGCCTCACATTGTCTCCTCGTGACACAGCGTGATTTTACCATCCACATCTTCTACAAGTGTGGTGCGAGAAGCCGATTTGTCTTGAGGGCACATCCAATTGCTCTAACTTGACTGACAGCTGAAGCAGGGAACATGCATTTCTTAGTCTCTGTGTCAGGACACATCGACATTTCCAATGCACCGTTGATCAGCACAGGGTATTCTTCATTGTCATTACCTCTGGCTGAGTATTTGACACGACAGCCCGTTCAGTGTATTCGGTCTGTCTGTCGACCACAGCTTGTTTCACCTTCTCTGTGTACAGGAAAAGCTGATTCGTTTTGCTTAGGGGTAGCTACAGGGCAGCACCTTCAGCCAATGTTCACCTCTGCAGTGCAGCCAACCGGCTCATGGTGGTTGCCGGCCGTGAGCGCTACTCGTATGGTGATATCAGCCGGTAGTATTTCTGGACGTCTCTACTGCTGCCTGTCCGCCATTCTTTAGGTCTTGCTGTAAAGTATCACGCCGCTTACGTCCCGGCGTAGGTGGCAGTTTATTACTCTTGCGATTACTCGTCCTATGAGTAGCATGTGCGCCAACAAACTGTCGCAAGACTATAGAATAGTCGCTGCAGCTCCGCCCGTTTCAAAATCAACTTATACATCAACTGGCCGTTGATCCGAATGTGGCGAAACTTCGCCAACTCCAGCATGCTTTTGATTTAATCTCCGAGCATAGGTAGCGACAGGCCGTCGACCAATATCTCGGCTCTCTGTTTCTATACACGCCGCATAATCGTCGTCTGTAGCTGAACCTC